CCACCAGCCCTTTTTTTGCGATGGGTTTTTTTAGATAGGGTCTTGAGAACTATTTTCCTGGGCTGGCTTTGAACTATTTGTCTGATTTCTGCCTCCTGAGTAGCTAGGATTACAATCGTGAGCCACCAGCACCTGGCTAGAGATTTTTGATAATTTGAAAAACTCAAGGATGGAATGCAGTATAGAAATAGTGAAAAAATTAGGAAAAAGTTATGTCATAAATTCAATAAATATAAGTAGAGAATAGTCTTTTATCAATTATGTCCAAAATATATACAAATCTTTCATAAAAAGTTATAATTTACCAACACTTAGAATACAAACACCTACAGATTGTGAATGCACCATTTGCAGTTGAGAGGTGTGTAAAAACACATGAACACAAAAACACTTGCACAAAATCCACTGGACATATGCACTAATGTAATAATTTTGTGGCACCTTTGTTACTTTTGCAGTGAGCGCAAGTGTTGCAGCATACAAGTAAAATGTTAAGTGACACTCATCATCACTGATGTCAGGTCCTTTCTCCAGTAAATTGTGTATCACAGTATTTTTCACCACAGATGATACATATGACGTGTTGATTGGGTGTTTATGTTATCAATAAGACTTTCAGTCAGCAGCAGGCTGAGTTTTGGCAAGTGAAAAATTATATGCAGATTTTTTGGCTGTGTAGGGGCAGCATCCATATACCCCTATGTTATTCACAGGTCAACTGTGTTCACAAATTTGTGAAACCATCATTACTGTCTAATTCCGAGACATTTCCATCACCTCAAATAGGAGCTCATGGGATGGGGACATGGCAGAGAGGTAAAACTGTAACTTCAAACCCCAGTCCTCCAACCTCTCAATCTCCAAAAAGAAATTTATTAGCAATTGCATCACATTTCCTCTCTTCCTGGCAACCACTAATCTACCATCTGTCTGTATGGATTTGCTTATTCTGGAAATTTTATACCAGTGGAATGATAATATATGTGATCTTACATGTGGCTTTTTCATGAAGCTTGACATTTTTAAGGTTCAGTCACATTGTAGCATGTATCAGAACTTCATTCCCTTGTATGGCTAAATAACATTCAGTTGTAGGGATGTACCACTTTAGTTTATCTCCCAATGGGCATTTTGGATTTTTCACTCTTTTAGGCACACATGAATAATGTTTCTGTCAACATTCATGAGCAAGATCTTGTGTGGACATATACTATTGTTTATCTTGGGTATTAGTGTTTTAATATGAAATGTCCACCAAAGGCTCATGTGTTGAAGAGTTAGTCCTACCTGGTGGTGTTATTTTGGGAGGTGGTGGAAACTTTAGGAAGTAGAGCCTAGTTGGAGGAAGTAGGTCATTGAGGTCATGTCTTCCTTGGGGCATTTATCTTGCCCTGATCCTTCTCCTTCCTTACCCTCCTCTTTACTCTCCTCTCCTCACTTCTCTCTTCCTGGATTTCATGAGATAAGCAATTTTGCTTCACAACACACTCTTGTTGCCATGATGTTCCTTACCACAGGCCCACAACAACGGAGCCCGGCCAACCATGGACTAAAACTCCTGAAACTGTGAGCCAAAAAATCCTTCCTCCTTTGTTAGTTTTGTTAGGTATTTGTCACAGTGATGAAAATTCTGATTAGCAAAGTGTGTACTGAGAAATGGGATTGGTATGTCATGTAGTATCTGAAACAATCTGCAACACATCTTTTAGTTTTTTTGAGACAAGATCTCACTATGTAGTCAGAAGTGGCCTTGAAATTGTAAATCCTCCTGCCTTTGTCTCCCTAGCACTGGGATTACAGGTATGTATGCACAACTGATACATGAGTTAGACAGGGAGTTAGGAAGCCTAATAGTTGAGAATAATTGCTTGGATGTTGATGAGAATCATATTTTTGCCTCCTGGCATTAACGGAATGACTAATGACATACAGCAGGATCTTGCTGAGACAAAGCCATCACAGCCATGGATAGTGACAGCCCTGGACTGACTATCCAAGGGCAAGTACTTTCCCACCCAACATATGGGAGGAGATGATGATACATAACCAGTCTCTGGATGTTAATGACACATACTCCAGTTTTCCAAGACTGACCACTCCCAGGTCCATGGACCCCATAAAAGCTTGAGGTCTTGGAACCCCCCAGTGCAGTGATCTGTCTGGAGCCTGTCCACTCTCCCATCTGAAGAGTGCACTTTTGCTTTATTTTCACTTTACTTTGCATTAATTAACTGCTTAAGTTTACCCCACAGGTGTTCCCTAAATCCAGGTCCTCAATGTCATCCCCACAATGGCTGCCATATCCAGCTGACATCTTTCTTTTAGCTCATATTTTTAAAGGACTACATCCTTAATATATGTCCTTGAATTCTTTCTGTCATTAGACCAAGAACTTTCTGACCCACAGACCCAGTGATTGGAGGAGGTAACAACACCATGCCTGGATGAGCCAATTTTCCAAAATGGCTGCATCATCTTACATTCCCACTAGCATTGTGCAAAGGTTTCAATTCCTTCACATCCTCACCAACACTTATTTTCCTGTTTAAAAAAAGAGTATAGCTATATTAGTGAGTGTGAATAGGTGTCTACCTCAACTGTGGTTTTATTTTGTGTGTCCTTGAGGTCAAGAATGTTGATCATCTTCCTTCTTTCACAGATAGCTGCAGCCACCTTTCATGGTATTATTAGGATTAACATTCCTGCTCTGTGCCTGAGAATTGGTCACAGCCCAGCCTCCCTGACCACAAAGATGCTCCAGCTGGGCATGGGCTGTCCGCTGTAACTGAGTATGTCCTGTCCCTCCTGAAACCCTCGTCTTGATAGCCCTGGGCTGCCTTTAGCTCTGGGGATGTCCCTATTTCCAGATGCTATCAGGAGAGGCATGAGGTGTCAGAGGCTCTACTTCTTGTATATTCTCCTGGGGACTTTCTCCAAAACAGTGACCTGATCACAGCTGCTCCTGGTCTTGCAGGTCCCTCAGGATGCAGTCAGGACCCAGAATTCCTCCCTGAAGTCTGCAGAAGACACCCAGAGCTCTGACCCTGGCTTTAGGCAGGTGAGGAAGCCATGGGAGAAGGAAGTAAAACTTTTAATAGCCCTGGGATTTACTTGCCACCCAACCCCAGCTCAGGACCCCTGTTCTCCCCATGGCCTGCAAGCCCAGAGATCTTGGTGTGGCATTAGCCCCCTGTCCTTGGTGAACTCCCAGATAAAAGCCCTTGCTTCTGCTAGGCATGGCCCCACACAACGGCTATCATATGCCTGACTGTCCAGACTTCTGGCAGGCATGTCGCTGTGTGTCCTGTTCCCCATCCTCCTGGCCTCTCTCTCTGGGGCTGTTCAGTTTGGACCAACAGGCTGGAGGTTGCCCAGGAAGAGTCCCCGCTTTGACCGCCCTGGAGATGTGATCCTTGGGGGCAGCTTCTCCATCTTTCGCTTCGATCATGCCACTCTGTTGGATTTCACAGCTCCGCCTGCTGGGCTGGCCCATTCAAGGTAAATTCTGGGTAGGGTGGGTATCCCTGAATGCTTTGGGCACCTTGATGAGGGCCCCTGAAGTCTCAGACAGTGGCTGATTCTCAGCATTCCAGCTGGATGTCCATGGTTGTCCTGTCTGAATCTTGTGTGTCAGTTGTCGTCCTTTCTTAACATTTCCCTCTGTCTTTGCGATCTTGTTTCCACAAGATTGAAATGTGGGCTGCCTGTGTTTTATTTGCTGTGCTGTGTGGACTTCCCAGGTCAGGCAGGAATTCTTCTTTCTCTGGTCTGCCCCTGATGAAAGGAATAAGGCCTAGGTAGGTGTGTTTTTTGAATGAAAAAAATATGAAATGAGTAAATCTCTTCATGAATCATCAGCTCTCTACCTATATTCCCTTTGCCAGTTTCTGCAGTATGTTTCCCAACCTGTCTCTCCAGACAGGAGTTCCCAACATACTCCTTTTGTGTATTCTTTTTCATTTTGTTTTGTTATTTGGTGGTACTGGGGTTTGAACTCAGGGTCTCATTCTTGCTAGGCAGACACTCTACCACTTGAGCCACTCTGCCAGTACTTTTTTTTTGTGTTGAGAATTTTTCGAGATGGGGTCTTGGGAACTATTTGCCTGGGTTGGTTTTCAACTGTAATCTTACTGATTTCTGCCTCCTGAGTAGCTAGGATTACAGGCATAAGCTGCGGGCACCTGGCTTGTCTATTCTTCTTAAAAAAAATCTATGAATAGCTTAACTAAAAATATTTTTAATAACCTAATTAAAGATGGTGTTGCATGCCTGCTATCCCAGGACACAGGAGGTTGAGGCAGGAATATCATGAGTTTGAGACCAGTTTGGACTACACAATGAGACACTATATCAAACAACAAACAAAAATATTGCTAATTGTTTTCCAAAATAACTGCAACCGTTTTGTATTATCACCAGAAATTCACTCTCACCATCACTTGATATTGACAAGTTTTTAAACTGATGAACAATTATAAGTAATGATTGTATATATATATATATATATATATATATATATGGAGTACATTATGGAATGATTATGTCTAAGTAATCAACATATCCATCAGTTCACATACTTAATATTTTTTGCTGATGTGAACATTTAAAATTTACTTTTAGCAGGTTTGAAATATTAATTATCATTGCCGTGCTGTGCAATAGATCTTGAAACGTTTCCCTCCTGTTTAATTGAAACCTTGTTCCCTTTGACCATATCTCCTCAGTCCTCTGACCCACTTTTGACTTTTTTGTATTGGCAGTACAGGAGTTTGAACTCAGGGCTTTGTGTTTGCTAGGTAGATTCTCCATTACTTGAGTTACAACTCCAGCCCCACTTTTGGCTCTTTTGGTTATACACATTTATATACAAGTACTTGTGTGGACATATGTTACCAGTCCTCTGTACACCTAGGTGTCACTAGCTGTCTTCATTCCTTCTCCATCTGCACCCATCATAAGTGACAAACATGATATTTCTTTTCTTCAGTGTTTCCTTGTGGGGCTACCAGGTGGCCCAGAGTTTTGTCTTTTCCATCGAGGAGATCAACAGGAATATCCATCTGTTGCCCAACCTGACACTGGGCTTCTCCATCCGCAACTCTGGGGACTCGGTGCATGGAGCCCTCCATGAGACAATGGGGTTTCTCACGGGGCAGGAGGAGCCCATCCTAAACTATACGTGTGGGTCTGGCCCACCCCAGGCTGCCCTGGTGGGGGACACACGGTCAGTCCTGTCTGTCTCCATGGCCAGGCTTCTTGGGCTTTACAAATTTCCCCAGGTGAGTCCTTCCAAAGCATTGTCCCTTCACTATCATGATGGTGATTGGGACTGTACTGTGTAGTTCCACTGTGGGACCAGATTCCCTGCCAATGTTCTCCACATCTGATATGGCTCATAATAGTCTTATACTAAGAGAACCTACAGTCTCACTGCCCTGATGGGCAGTGATCTACCCTGAGGGATAGAGAACAATCAAATGAGGGGGATACAAGCTCACTCAATGGGGTGTTGTAGCTGGGATTTGAATCCAGTCAACTGGGCTAATGCATCAGCTTCACCTTTAACCCACAGGTGTTCCCTAAATCCAGGTCCTCAATGTCATCCCCACAATGGCTGCCATATCCAGCTGGCATCTTTCTTTTAGCTCATTTTTAACAGGTAAATTGAGATATAATTTTCCTAAAATGCAATTCACCCACTTAAGGTGAATAATTCAGTTGCTTTTAGAATGATCAAAGCCATGCAATCATGCCCACAATCAATTTGAGAACATTTTTATCACTGTGCAATCAAATTCCAGACCCATTAGGTAACCACATCCCATGACCGCTACCACAAGGCCACCATGAATCTACTTTCTGTCTCTTTAGATTTGCCTTTACTGGACTTATCCTATAAATAAGAGCATACAATACATGATCTTTTGCACTGGCTTCTTTCACTGAGCATGTCTTCAAGTTCATCCTTGCTGTAGGGTGTACCAGTGGTTCACTCCTTTGTAGCATAGTCCACATTTTGTTTATCCATTTAACAGTTCATGGAAGTTTGAGATTTTTTTTTTAATTTTTGGAAGTACTGGGGTTTTGAACTTAGGTCCTCATGCTTGCTAGGCAGGTGCTATACCTCTTGTCAAGCTCTCACCCTTTTTGCTTTTATTTATTTTTCAAATAGAGTCTCGTGTTTTCCCCAGTCTTGGACTGTGATCCTCCTATCTATGCCTCCCAAGTAACTGAGATTACATATACACAACACCATGCCTGAGTGTTGTTTGAGATGGGGTCTCAAATAATATTTTTGCCCGAGTTAGTCTTGAAACATGATTGTCCCAAATTCTGCATCCCTAGTAGCTGGGTTACAGAGATGTGCCACCATGCTCAGTTGAGCAGTTTCCATGCTTTAGCTCTTGTGGATGCAGTTTCTATGAGCATTCATGATTAGGTTTTTATGTGTTTATATATTTTCAATTCTCTTGGGTATAGGGATAGAATTGCTGGGCCAAAGGCAACTCTATTTAACCATTTGGTGAATGGGCAAAATGTTTTCCAAAGCCACTGTGTTAGTTAGTTCTTCAGGTTGCTGTCAAGAAACCTGAGAGGAACAACTTAAAGGAGAAAAGACTTATTTTGGCTCACTATTTCAGCAGTTCACTCCATGCTGACTGGCTCTGAAGTTTCTAGGCCATGGTCAGGGACACCATCATGGCAGAAGGGTGTGGTACACAGAGTGGCTCACCTCATGGTGACCAGGAAGCAGAGACAGAAGAAGTGTCAGGGGACAAGGCACATCTTTCCAGGCATGGTCCCCATGTACTACTTACTGTAACTAGGTCCTCTTCCTACTTTCTACCACTTTTCAATAGTGATAGTTTATCATATTATGAATCCATCACAGGATTAATCAGTTGATTAGGTCAGAGTCCTCAGGGTCCAAACACTTTCCCAAAGTCCCTCAGCTGACATCTAAGACCTTTAACCAATGAGCCTTCAGGAAACATCTCAGATTCCACTGGCAACAGCCCTTTCACCCCTTTACATGCCCATCAGCATTGTATGGAGATTAGGATTTAAGTCCACTTGGTTTGACTGTGAAACCTCTAAATTTGAGAGACTTCCTCTCTCCTTGAATGCCTCAATTTTTCTGTTTTCTGGCCAGAAAGGGCTTTCTGCCAGAAGGTGCTTCCTACCTATGAAGCTGGGACCCTGTAACTCAGAACTGGTTTGATGCCTGTTTCCTGAAAGGGCTTTGTGGGGGCTGTTGTTCCAGAGGAAGCCCAGCTCGTGCTCCTCCTTGTTGGACTTATTATGTGGTGGGATTTACTCCGAGGTGAGACACTTCAGATGTGGGCTCAGTTGTACTATCACTTGATCCAATTCTATCCTAATAAACAGAACAGCTGGACTGGGTATGGTAACTGGTCTGGGATCCCAGTTACCTGGGAGGTTGAGGCAGGATGCTAGTGAGTTGGACGCCATCCTAGACAACTTATGGAGACCCACCTCTCAAAAACAAATGAACAAATGAGCAAACAAATGGGAAAGCTGGCTTTTATAAAACTTCTGTAAATAAGCACACCACAGTTATGTGTATTTTAAACCCAAATTACTTGCTTTGACCACCTCAGGGTGGATTCTTACTAAAGTGCCTCTGAGCTGGAAGTGTCTATAAGGAGAGCTTTTTTTTCCTTCCAAATTCAAGCACATTTAAGTGATTAAAATATAATTTCTTAACCCCCCAGTACCACCAAAAATAAATTTCTAAAGCTAATAAAATTCTTTATTTGGACTGGGGGCATGGCTCAAGTTGTAAAGTGCTTGCCTAGCATGCATGAGGCCCTTGGTTCAACCTCCAGTATGCAAAAAAAAGAAAGTCTTTATTTGCCACAGTTAGTGGCAAATGTTGATATGCTTAATTACACATTTGTGACCTAGATCAGGTATTCTTTCTAAAATACATAAATTTCTGAATTCTCAAACATATCTGGCACCTAGTATTTTATTTAAAGGATTGTGGACCAATGACTTTTAAAATGTCTTCATTCTTTTTTACTCACTATCTTCTAAACAATGTTTTTACATCTATAATAAAACAACATTAATGAATGCCATAAAAAGTGACTACTGTCTTCTTGAAGTCAGTTCTTAGGGACCAAATTACATGGTATAATTTATGTTACTCAGAAACTTCATTCCTTGAACACAACCCCAGAAGCTCTGGGTTTACATGTTTTAGGACTTCCAGATGAAATACTGGATCCTCAGTTAAGTTGAGATTTTAATTATAATTTTGGCTCCATATTTACACTAAAATATTTTTTGTTGTTAATGAATAATAGTTAAGCATGTCTCTTGGGATAAACTTATACTAAAACAGAATTTATTGCTTATCTGACATTCAAATGTAGCTGGGTATTCTGCATTTTTATTTGCAAAATTTGGCAGTCCTACCTGTATGAATTGAGTCAGCCTTATCTCTATGTATGAGCCAACTAAATTTGAGTTCCTTTACAGGAAGAAACAAAATCTTCACAAAACCTATTTAATTACTACCCTCTAGTGGTAGAAGAAGGTTTTGCATTCAGAGACCCAGTGGCTCTATTCTGCACCCAAGCCAAAAGCAAACACAGACACAGAACACTGCCACATAGCTCAAAGGGCTCCTCTGTCTTCCGGGATATGGCATTCTCTTCCTTGACAAATCAACAAACCAGTGAAAATTGGCACACAAGATTACCTGGCATATGAGACACCACAAGGATCACAAAATGGCTAGATAACAACAGCTTGTCCCAAATGGCTGTCGTCACCAATGAAGAATAACCTTACCAGCTCTGTGCAAACCAGAGTCAGAACCAGCCTGGAAGAAAAGAAAAAGAAAATGCTATGAGGCAGCAAATGAGGGAGGCTGAGAGTTGAGCAGGAAAGATTCAGGCTTATTCAGGAGGCATGGGAGCTGTGTTTGGACTGAGCCAGCAAGGGGCACACAGCATTTTGGTGCACTCCACAACTCTCACAGCATCTTGCCAAGAACTCTTGTGAAAACTCTTTTTAGACAAGGGAAGGCACACATGGAAAAAATTTATCTAACTGGTGAATGAGAGAACTGGAGGGTGGTGATGCTGGTTCAAACATCAGTATTTTAAAAAGTGACATCAGGCCAGGTACTGGTAGCTCATGCCTGTAATTCTAGCTACTTGTGAGGCTGACACTGGTTCGAGGCCAACCTGGGCAAAAAGGTTAATGAGACCCCATCTCAACAGACAAAAGCTGGGTGTGGTGGCACACACCTGTCATCCCAGGCACAGTGGGAAGCATAAAATAGGAGAATTGTGGTCCAGGATGGCCTCGGCAAAAAAAAAAAAAAAACAAAAAAAAACAAACCTAGATCCTATCTTCAAAATAACCAGAACAAAAAGGGCTGAGGGCATGACTTAAGTGGTAGAATGCCTGCCTAGGAAGTGTGAAGCACTGAGTTCAATCCCCAGTGCTGCCAAGAAAAAAAAAAATGACACTGGATGATTGTGTTTCCTGAATCAATGAGGCTCTAGGGTGGTCTCTAAGACTCTATCTGTTCCTTAGGCACCAGGTTGGAACATTGTTGCAAAAAAAAAAAAGAATTTTAGGGTACATTGAGGTGGAGACCAAGAAAATTTATTAGTAAAGCAAACCAAAGGAAAGAATAGTGTACACTGTGGGTGTAGGCAAACCTGAGAAGAGGTGTACAGAGTTCTCTAACATCAGGGGTACTTATGATGAAAAAAGCAGGTTGGATGTTTGGTTTAAGTTTGCTTTTGGATAACTGCTCCTCTTTGTCCTCGATACCTGGTACATTCACACATTCTTGCTGTTACATGGTTTTGACATTATTAATTATGTCTAGATATATTGTCTGATCAGCTTACTAAATTTGGGCCACTTTGACATAGATTTGTTTTCCTTGAGCATTCCTTTAAACAAAGGATGGGGTTCATAAGATGCTCCTTTAACACAGGTGGCCTTTCTTAAGATAAGTTTTTCTTGCTTATAAACACTTCTGTGATCTAAGGAGTAATTTTACCAAATTTTTTTTTCTAGGATGTGTCTTTAAGATAGTCTTGCTCAGTTCCCAGAGTGTAGTAATCATTTGGGCAAGTAGAGAGGAGAAAGCTGCTTTTCAAATTTTATTCTGGCAATACTGACATTTGAACTCAGGGCCTAGTGCTTGCTAGGCAGGTGTCTACTGCTTGAGCTATGCCTCCAGCCCTTTTTGCCTTAGGTATTTTTCAAATAGGGTCTCACATTTATGTCCAGGCCAGCCTGGACAGTGATCCTCCTATTTATACATCCTATAGGTGGGATGACAGCTTTGTGCCACCATGCTATTTTATTTGGTTGAGATGGGATCTCCCCAACCTTTTTTGGTCCAAACTGTCCTGAAATGATGGTCCTCTTGATCTCAGCCTCCTGAGCAATTACAATTGCAAGTTTGTGCCACCATGCCTGACTTTTTTCCCCCTAAACTACATATTAAGGCTTACTGAAGGGATGTGCAGCTTAAAGCTAAGAAAGTAGTGCCTCTGTGCTTTAAATCAAAGTATTCATTGATATATTTATCTTTTAATTCCTGGCCCCTATTTCCCATGCTTCATCTTCCCTGATCTACCCTACCTCAGTTCCATGGAGAGCCGACACCTCATTACTCAGACTATTGTCATTGGCTGTGAGATGGTTAGAGGTCCATATCTTGGGGCTCCCTTCCCAACCAGCTCCTAACAATCACTAGTTCCCAGTTAGACTCGGGCTGGGTGGTCTGATAGCAGCCTCTCATGGTTCTTGAGTTATGACTGCGTTCTGGCTCGGCTCCAGCTACAGTGATCAGCAGCCTTGTTTGTCAAGGACCACAGATGCACTTGGGATGTGAGACTTTCAGCAAAAAAACTGGGAAATCCATCCAAGGCAACTAAGGTGAATTGGCCACTTGCTTTGTTCTCCCTATGTCTGCTGTGCTGTGTTTAAATCTGATAATCCACCTGTATCTGAGTCCTGGCTCTCACCCATCTCCTATTATCTTGACCCTTCCCTGGCAGATCAGTTATGCATCCACACTACCAATCCTCAGTGACAAGACTCAGTTTCCATTCTTCCTTCGGACTGTGGCCAGTGACCTCACAATCTCCCATGCAGTGACTCAGCTGGTGCTCCACTTTGGATGGTCCTGGGTGGGCATCCTGGCCCAGGATGATGACTTTGGGCAGCAGGCCAGCTTGCTGGTCAAACAGGAGCTGAGCCAGGCTGGTGTCTGCATTGAGTTCAACTTCCAAGTCCCTTCTCAGAAATCCCCAGAGAAGATAGCAGCCATTGTCCAGAAGATGCAGAGCTGTACCGCCACAGTTGTTCTGGTATTTCTGAGTAACTCAAATGTCCAGCTCATCCTGCAGGGCTTGCTGGGCCTCCATGTTGTGAGCCAGTTCTGGGTCAGCAAGGATGTACTGCACATGGTGATTGCCCTGATGGTGCCGGGCATCTCCCAGGTCTTGCAGGGCTCATTTGGCCTTCACCTTCGCAGAAATAAGGTGTTCGGATTCTCTGAGTTCCTTGCTCGCCTGCACCCTAGTCGGACCCCAGAAGACATGTTTATAAAGGGGTTTTGGGAGGCCACCTTCAGGTGCACATGGCCCAGTAAGAACAGCATAGTGGCAGAGGGTGTCCAGTTCTGCTCAGGGAATGAGACCCTGAGAGGCCACGAGCTCCCTTTTCGGGAAGTGAATGAAGCTAATGTTGCCTATACAGCTGCCTACAGCATCGCCCATGCCCTGCATGACCTGGTAGCCTGTGAGCACAGGGATGGGATGTGTGCAGACCCTAAGCACTTCCAGCCCTGGCAGGTGAGAGAGAAATGTGTTAAGTAGGTGATTCAGGGATGGGTGAACAATAGGACACTCACTTTGTCTAAGCTATAGAGGTGGAGCTGAGACTATGTCCTTTGGTGAGGATGCCTCATGCTTTCAGCTGGGAGGCATCTTAGCAGGAGCATTGGATGAGGAGTCCTAAATTCAAGCTAGCTGTGTGACCTTAGATAAGTCATGTCCCTGTGGGGTTGTGCAATTTAGTAGATAAAGGATGCCTACTGGAACTCAAATTTTGTATAAACAGGAAGAGTTTTTTTTAAGTGTGTCCTAAATTTGGTTTTGATAGACAATGAATGGTTTTAATAGATGTGTACTGTACATGTGAATTTCAGATAAACAGCAAATACCTTTTAGAATAAGGGTATCACAAGTATTACATAGGGTATGTTTCTACTAAAAAGAGTAATTGTTTTGGTGGTGGTGTTGGGGGGTTGAGAAAGGGTCTCACTACATAGTCCAGGCTGACCTGGAATTTGTCATCCTTTTGTACTAGGATTATACTCTAAGCCACCAAGTCCAGCAAATACTTATTCTTTTATCTGAAATTCAATTTTAATCAAACCTCCTGAATTTTATTTGTAAATTCTACTTCCATAAACTCAGTACATTCATTATAAATTCATTACAAATGAGGACAAAAACCAGTCAGTTGCCAGGGGTATAAGGCAATGGTGTCTATACATTTAAAGGTCTTGGGGATGGAAGATCCCCTGGTAGACCAGCTGGATCTCTACTCACCCTCCTTGAGTGAGGCTGACCTACTTCAGTAGCTGCCATTCTTGCATCTTTGTAATGCAGGTACTTCATCTGCAAAACAGGGAATATTAATTCTAATCATTGGATTATTATAGGATTAACAAGGTAATATATAAAGCACTTAGAACAGAGCTTGGAGCTGGGGTTGTAGCTCAAGTGGTACAGTGCCTGCCTACCAAGTCTGAGGCCCTGAGTTCAAACTCTAGTACTGCCAAAAAAAAAAAAAAAAGAAAAAGAAAAAAGAACAGAGGCTGGCATGTAGTATTACTGAATTAATTCTATTTTCTTATTATTACAGCTCTAGTTTTTCAATTATTATTATGACTCATTATAACCCACAAAATATAACTGAAGGGTTCTTGGGTTCTCTGCACACCTGGGGACCCTAATTTTCATCAAGAACAGGTAAACCTAGGGTAGGGGTTTTCATAAATCTGTCAGTGGAAGCAACACCAGTAGATGTCTAATCATGCTCTCCAGGGATAAGCAAATCCCCAAACTGTCTACCCAAGAGGAGCTATAAGAAAATGATTTCTTCAGTTCTCTCTAGTTGACCTATCTAACCAACAAAAACTTAGAATACATGATTTGAGTTGAATTTCAGAGAAAAATCAACTTTTTAGTATATCCCATGGCATGTATTTTAATAAACTTTTTTTTTGGTGGTACTAGGGATTGAACTCTGGGCCTCACTCCACCAGCCCTTTTCAGTGTTGAGTATTGTCTGTGAACTATTTGCCTGGGGCTGGCTTTGAATCATGATCCTTCTGATTTCTGCCTCCTGAGTAGCTAGGATTACAGGCATTAGCCACCAGCAACCAGCAAAATTGTTCTTTTGTGATTTTCAAATTTAATTGGGAAACCTGTACTTTATCTGAATGCCAAACCCTGTCATCTGGCTTTCTCACTTTTAGTTTATTTATATGAAGAGGTCATGCATCAACTAAAGCTTTCCAGAGTGAGACCTCCCCATGCCTTACTGGAAGGACCTTCTGCTCTTGTTTGTGTCTAGCTGTGCTCCTGGCCACTTTCTCCACTTCAGGCCCAAGTAGTCTTCTTGCTCATCTCTATCTCAGTGCTATGGACAAACACATCACCTAAACTTACTTTAATAATATACCTGTAGTCCTTCCCCACCCTTGCTAATCACATAATTTGATGCTAATCACACCTCGCACCTAATGCCTGAATACAATAAACCCTCAGTATCTGTGGGTATATGGTTGCAAGGACATTGCCATTGAGGAAAAACCATGACTGCTCAGGAATTGTAGAGTTTAGTGCTTTTATGAATACATGATTTATTTTTTCATAACGCTGCCTTTCAACAAGTCTAAAAACTTCACTTTTTAAGGCACATTACATGCCCTTTTAGGCTTGGAAGGGTTACCAAAACTTTTACCTTACTTTTTTTGTGCACCACTTGGTTTTGGGGAGGCACATTCTCACAAAATTAAGGGCAGGTAAATACTCAGATCACAAAACAATTTAAACACAACTGGCAATAACGCACGCAGAAGAGACTGAGAGCTTCTCTGCACCAACTGAGTGCAGGCATTTAAATTTTTTGTTCTTGAAATATCTTTTGATTCTTTTACTTATTTTTTGACTGTGCTTGGTCAAAATGGTGTGTACTAAATCCACAAATAAGGCCAGATTACTATATACTTCATGCCCCACCTGTGGCTTTCCCATATGATGTGCCCAGTGGTGATACCTCCTTTGAGCTTCATAGCCATCCTAAGCAGAAGGTTCATGGGTAGGTTCTTCTCTGACCATTCTACAGAATCCTGAAGTTGGTGGGCACATTGGCCTTGGCAAAGCTAGGGAAATGTCCAATATGAGCAGCCTAAGTGTCTTTAAATGTTTGGATTTTAAATTATCAACAATCATGGGTTCCTGACTCATTGCTTCTGATGGGTGGTAAGACAGAGAGGCAGAAGAGCATCTTCTATATTTATGTAAGGTGCAGGCAAACCTGGCTCAGAGCTGGAAGGGGGGGATTTCAGGGGAAAGCAACCAGAGAGGGCTGGAGCAAGGAGAGGGGAGGCTTTCATTAACATCAGATAATGGGTCTCCATTATGTGCCAGCTGAAGTTACATCTGGCTGTGAAGCAGATGGACAATAATGATTGTTGTCTTTTTGATAGTGGGAGATTAAAAACACCTGAGGCTGGGTGAGGTGATCCATTACTGTCATCCCTGCACTCCAACGGCTGAGGCAGGATTGTGAGTTTGAGGCCAACCCTAGGTTACATAGCAAGATCTTGTCTATAAAAAATACTGAGTTTGGCCATGTCTACTTGTGTCTGTGAAGAAGATGCAGAGTAGATGAGGTGTGGAACTAGGTCAGGAATGTTCTCTGAGCAGGCAACTGAGAGCTAGGATGGAAGATGAAATTCTTCTCATCACAGGAAGAAAGTAATGGTGGTTCAAATGGCAGGGGCAGTGTGTGCCAAGGCAACAATACAGAAAAAAAGCATGTGGCTGGATCTGAGCAAGTGTGTGAGCCTTGGCTAAGAGACTGGGACATTTAGGTGGGCTGGGGCCAGTCTGTGGAAGTATTGCTAGGGTTTGGACTCCACTCCGAGTATGTTGGAAAGGGACTAAGGGTGGCAATGCACAACCACATTGTGACATTAAGGTTCCTTCCTCCATTGAAAAAAAATTAACTTGGTAACTGCCTTGTTATAAAGATAAACATAGTCTGGATCTATGATATATTATTTTATTAAAAATTTCTTCCAATTTTACAAGAAGTGAAAATTAGAACATGTTTGCAAGCCCCTGCAAATATCTCAGGTGTCCTGGTCTCCCACACCTAATAGGTAAGTTGACCTTGCCTGGAGTTGCACAAGTTCATCCTAGTGGCCAAAGGGTTGTGGACATTGTCTACAATGTCACTCTTTCTTCTCCAGCTTCTTCATTCCATCAGGAAGGTGCACTTCAAGACTCCTGATGGGAGTGAGATTATGTTTGATGCCAATGGAGATTTGGTTAGAAAATTTGACATTTTCCAAGGGAAGAAGACCCCTGAGGGCCTATTCCACTTGGTCCACGTAGGCTTTATCAATCCTCGAGTCTCTTTAGGTAACAGAATGCCTGTCCACTTGAAGGAGGATGTACAGGTGAGTTGCCTGGTTGCGTGGATGATCTGTCGTGGTGTACCAAGAGGCCAGTGGTCCCTGACCCTATTTGATGCATGAAGTTAGATGTAGCTCTAATTTGGGCCAGGCATACCTCAGCCATATGAGACTCTTCTTTGAGGGCAGAGAGGCATTTACTCACCAACACAAATGAAAATATCAGAGCCACAGAAGTTGAATTAGAATCTGCATAATGAGTTTCTTCTGAGGTATCTTTCACTGTCCATATTCAGGTTAGTTTTGTAAGGAGGCAAATGGTTTACCCGGAAAGATAGCAATATACTTCCCCAAACGTGTTCCTATGGAACATCTGGGGAGTGGGTGGAACAGGCATTTCATTTTATTAACAAATTTAGCTGCTGGGTTGAGATAGGTGCATGTAGGTATCCCTTGGTCCTGAGAAACATCCCAGCTCTCTGACCACCATTAGTGGATGTGTGGCACCTTCCTATAACCTTGCCTAACTTGGTTCTCAGTGGCATCTTTAGTTGATGTGGTCTTAAAAGCTTTCCAAGTGAGTCTAGCTCCTGTTTGTGGATTCTTCAAATCCAAGGGATAGATAGTGTCCAGAGGATCCTTTTGAACCACTTTTAGTGAACAGTTGAGCAGGACCTTCTGTTCCCTTCTGAGGTGAGAGGGAAATCCAGCATCCCATACATCTCTCAAAGGCTTTCTCATCCCCACTTCCCTCCCTATAACCTTTGCCTGGACGTGGGAGCTGTGACAAGGTAGGAAGAGCCATCCCCTTGCAGGGGCTGTGTAGATTGGGGCGGGAATGGCTAGGCAATGCAAGGGTACATGCCCTGTGTGCATGTGTAGTGTATGTGTGCCTGTTTGTGATCAGCAGCACTTACAATTCTTTTTTTGTGGGGAGAGGGGAACTGGGATGATCCCAGGACCTTGCTTACGCCAGGCAACACTCACATCACTTAAGCCATATCCCAGCCTTAGGGAATTTTTTTATGGTTCTAGACTAGGCCAGTATCACTAAGCTACACCTCCACCAGCATCAACAATTTTTGATGTAGAAGCCCAAAGAGACAGGAAAGGCACCAATTGTTTTGCAAAGGCCTGCCATGGTCAGCCAGGTTATGCAGGTGAAAGCCCTCCGGAGGTTTTATTCATCAGTTCATTTGGGTTACCAATCTAGTTTGTTCTTGATGTGATAGAAATGATGTTTCCTGAAAGACACCTCATCTGTGGGTGGGAAGAATGAAGGTCTTCTTTTCAAGGTGGGTTCAGTCAGGTCAATGCCTATGTCTGTACCTCTGAACAATCACTCATGACACTCTGCTCACCATTTTCAGGTGCCCAAGTCTGTCTGCAGCAGAAGCTGTCTTCCAGGGTTCAGTCAGACCCCCAAGCAGGGAGTCCCCCACTGCTGTTTTGATTGCAGCCCCTGCCCCAAGGGACAGTTTGCAGACAAAACAGGTGAGGGTCGTGGAACCGGGATCCAACAGGCCATCAGGGTGCTGGGAGCCTCTCAATTCCCATCCAGTGAGTCACGACACAGTCTCCAGTTGTCTGTTGACTTTGGGTGGGCATGCAGGTGAGGATACTACTCTTACAAATTATTTGGGGTAAATGTTTTAATGAACTATATCAAATGTATAAGTGCATGGATCATAAATGTGCCCCTGGATGAATTCTCACTTAGTGAACACTCCCAGGTTCCTAAACCTTGATCAAAAGCAGAGTATGAGCTGCCCCAAGAAGGCCCTTATACCCCTCCTGGTCACTGCATCCTCCTTACTCCCCAGATAACCACTGTCCTTACTTCTACTGGCATCAATAGGTTCTGTTTTCTAACCTCCTATAAGCAGAATTGCATGGTGAGTGTTTTTTTATGTGTCTCATTTTCCCTCTATATTATTTTGTGATATTCATCCTAGTGGTGGAGTGGTAATAAAAGACCACTGCCTGGTGTCTTAAGCAACAGAGGTTATTTTTTCACCATTTTGGAGTTGTTCAAGATGCTGGTAGGGCTGGTTTCTTCTGAGGTATTTCTCCCAGGCTTGCAGACAGCAGTATATTCTCATTCTCTCTCTCTCTGGCAGCACTGGGGTTTGAACTCGGGGCTTCATGCTTGCTAGGTAGGCACTCTACAACTTGAGCCACTTCACCAGCCCGACAGTAGCCTTCTCGCTATGCTCTTTCATGTCATATGTCTGTGTCCTACTTTCTTCTTGTATGGACCCCAGTCACGCTAGATTAGGGTACACTGTAATGACCTCATTTAACCAAAACTACTTCATCTCCAATTTACTAATTTCCAAAACCAGGCTGGTACTGGGGGACACAACTCAAACCCCAAACATTTTCTAGTAAAACAGTTACTGCTGCTATTTAGGGAAAAAAATCATTAAAAACTGTACATAAAATATGAATATAGTGTACATTTTTTCCTGAGCTGCCTATCCTGACCCTGATGATTAACAATAATTCATAACTACAATAATGAGTGAAACAATCACAAGAGCACTTGGTGCATGGGAAGCTCCCTCAACAGGGTTGGTGTACTTACACTCATATTGAGATACCAAGTCTGTGTGTCTCCCACAGACATGAAGAGATGTCTTCTGTGCCCTGAGGAACAATATTCAAGCAATGCCAGAGACCGCTGCCTGCCCAGGACAGAGACCTTCCTGGCCTTTGATGAGCCCCTGGGACTCACTCTGGCCTCAGTGGCACTCACACTGGCTGGCCTGGCTGTGCTGGTCCTTGGAGTGTTTTTAAAGCACAGTGATACACCTGTGGTCAGGGCCAACAACCGAGCTCTCAGCTACTTGCTCCTGACTTCCCTAGCCCTCTGTGCCCTCTGTTCCTTCCTCTTCCTTGGCAGACCCACTGCCACAACCTGCCTCCTCCGTCAGACCACCTTTGCAATTGTGTTCACTGTGGCTGTCTCCTCCATCCTGGCCAAGACCCTCACTGTGGCACTGGCCTTCAGGGTCACTAGGCCCAGGGACAGACTCCAGGTGTGCCTGGAACCTGGCACATCTCCCTCAGTGGTCTTCGTTGCTTCCTTGATGCAGATTATTCTCTGTGGGGTCTGGCTGGGCACCTCCCCACCTTTCCCAGAGAGGGACATGACTTCTGAGCCACGCCAGGTTGTCATCCAGTGCCATGAAGGCTCTGGAGTTGCCTTTTTCTGCATGTTAGGTTACCTGGGCTTCCTGGCTGGAGGTACCTTCTCTGTGGCCTTCCTGGCCAGGGGCCTGCCGGATGCCTTCAATGAGACCAGGTTCCTCACCTTCAGCATGCTGCTCTTTTGTAGCGTCTGGACAGCCTTCCTGCCCCTGTACCATAGTGCTCGGGGCAAGTCCACTGTGGCTGTGGAGATCTTCTCCATCCTGGCCTCCACTGCAGGGCTGCTGGGTGGCATCTTCATCCCTAAGTGCTACATCATCTTGTTGAAGCCTGAGTGGAACACCTCATCATGGTTAAGGCAAGGACACTGGGCTCAGCAGGAAAGGCAAAGTGAGGTGCTCCGGAGCAGATGTCTCCCCAGGCCCATGCCACAAAACCTCATGAACCAGTCCTTGTGGAAGACATAAGGTCCATATGATTTGGGCATGTTGGTTCTGTGTGGGTTAAAAGGGACTTAAAAGACAAATCAAAAGAAAATTGATCCAAATAGAGCAAAACACTAATGACTGTTGGATTTAGAAAATAGAATATGGATGGTCATTAATTATTCTCTTTGTATGTGTTGCTGAAAAATTTCACAAGAAAGTCTGAAATTGGGCAATGAGGTGAGGATTATGATGATGACCATGATGGTAAGGACAACTGTTGGTGAGGATGTGGGAAACTGCAACCTCATTCAGTGCTGGTAGGAATGTTAAATGTAAAATAGTCTGGCAGTTCCTTGGAAGTTAAACATAAGCTTACCATGTGACCTAGCAATTTTACTCTTTGATATATACCCAAGGGAAAGGAAAAAATATTCACATAATATAAAGGAGTAAATAATGTTTAGAGAAGCATTATTATTATTATTATCATTATTATTGACGATACTGGGGTTTGAGCTCAGGGCTTCTTGTTTACTAGGCAACCACTCTCCCACTTGACCCACACCTCTAACTCAGAGAAGCACTACTTATGAGCTAAAAAATTAGAAACAATATAAATGCCCAACCACTGATAAATGAATACACAATGGGATGCTATTTGGCAATAAAAAAGAATGAAGTACATACTACAACATGATTAAACCTGGAAAACATTTATGGTGAGTAAAGTAAGCAAGACATAAAATACCACATGTCCTACAATTCCATTCATAGAAAGGATCCTGAATAGGCAAACCCACAGACACATAACATAGATTAGTTGGAGGTTGGGGATATGAGTAGGGTGAAGCATTTCTTTCTGGGGTGATGAAGTTTCTAAAGTTGATTTTAGTGATGGACACACAAGTTGTGAATACACTAAGACACCCTAAATTGCATATTTTAAATGGATGAATCGTACAGTATGTGAATTATAACTGAATAAAATAGTAAAAAAGAATTATCGATTACTTACAAAGTGTGGACGTTCACTATGTTGATTTTTTTTTAAAGACCAAACTATTGAAAGTGAGATATTATCAACTGAAACATCAACTAGTCAATGAGATAAAGGAGTTATTGTTGAGTTTTTTTTTTTTTTTTAGTAATGGGATTATGGCTCTGTTCGAATTACATAAAGTATATAAAATGGTATAGAGTTTGGGGCTTATTTTAAATGATACAAAAATGGCAGAGTAGCTTGAGAGAACTGGGCATGACTCTATGGGTACATGGAGGCTATTATCCTTTGCCTACTTTTTGTGTTAGCTCAAAATTCTCCGAAATAAAAAGTTTTCTGATAATTTCGTAAAGATCTACAAACAAGACCATGGAGAACATGGTGGGACCAATGAAAGGGGTGTGTGTGACATAGTCTTGCAGAGTGTGAAAAGTGTAAACACCACCTCACCTGGAGCAGGAAGGAGGCCTCATCTCAATCACATGGACACCTCACCTTGGGGACTCAGAACAGGTGTATAAGAAAAGGTAATCCAAGGTGCTGTTTCCAATTGCATTCTGCTTTCGGAATTGTCAGAATTGACGATTCTAGTTGTCAGAATGGAAGGCCCTCCAAATTGAACAATAGTAAATAATAAACGACAGGGGAAAAAAAAAAACAGACCCAAGCAGGGTTATCGAATTTTAAATTACTGTCAACAGAACCAAGGTGTTGTAAGAACCTTTACCGAAGAGATTTAACTGAAAAAGGCACAGAAGCTCTGGGTATGATGTAGGAACAAGATAGCTGATGAATGGTGCGTGCCTTCGCAATGCAGCCCAGCGACACACACAGACGTGGACATGGCACCTCCATGCCAACCTGCCCGCCGTCACTTTTGTTTTCACTGGAATCTAGGAAGGCGTTATCTGTCACCGTGGGACGCAACACGCTGGGCTCACCTGCACATCCGGGCTCCGCTCCGCCTGCCCGCCATGTCCACCCGCACTCCTGTCGCCGCGTCAGCTCCGGGGCCCGCCAAAACGGTGAGATCCGAACCAACATTACTCTGACCACGGACTATAGCGCCTAGACGGTTTCACGACGACTAGAGCCATCAACGGCGTCGCGCAGAGCGGGGCTATTAGCACCGCGGTGCCATCTGGGAAGCGTAGTAAGACGGCATATCCGGCTATGGGCCTCATTTTGAGGCTTTCCGGACTCTCTGGATCCGTTGACCGAGCGTTTTCGGTCCGTCCGTCCGCCCTACCTTGTATCCTGGGATTTTAGTTGACTACATCTCTCTCATTGTGGTTTTGGTTTCACCGCCCACGGATATAAGTCTTGTGGGCCGGTCTCCATCAAAGTCCATTCCTGCACACCGATAGGATTAGTTTTCGCCCGCCTTCTGGGATTTGTAGTCTACGCCCAAAGCTGGTAAATCTAGAGCCAAGCCGGTGGACTACAACTCCCAGAATGCCAGTGTCCACATGGTTCCTATCTCGCGCTCCCATTAGTCAGGAGGCTGCTTAAGAGCTTTTGGTGATGGTGGTTCCTCCTCTTCCTACCCAGCGGCGTCGTCGGTGGATACGCAGTGCTAGCTAAGATGCCGGATTGTCCTGCCGGAATCCCGCCTGCTGCAGTCCCATCACAGGCCGGTGGAGCGGTGCACTTGGCCTGAGCCTTTCCTGCTGTGGAGCTGGAGCGGCTCCCGGCCCGTCGTGTTGAGAACTGTTTGGCAGGTCGGGTTGGGAAACTCCCGTTTCCGAGGCCCTGAGGCCAGGGCTGACCGAAGGCCGTGGCCAGTCTGCACACCTGGCCCTCCCTGTGCAGGGACACGGGGGTCAGGCCTGCAGGTGCATCCCGACTTACCAGCGGTCCCCTAGCCCTTAAATCTATCAGTAAAGCCGGGCGAGGTGGTACCCGCCTGTAATACCAGCACTCGGGAGGCAGAGGCAGGAAGCTCGCGAGGTTGAGGCCAGCCTGGGCTGTACACAAACCCTATCTCAAAGGGGAGTCAGGGATTTTGTTGTAGTGACAACGAGTTGACCCACTTCAAAGCTCCATAGGACAGCAGCGTGGGCTCTGTCTGCTGGGTGTCCTGGACTGCTTGGCTGCCCGACAAAATGCACAAATCCGATCTCGACCTCTAATTTGTCGTTACTGTAAATGTGCCCTGAATTTCTATGTTAGAATTTATAATATAGTTTAGTCCAAGTGTATCCCAATATAGGCTAGGCACGGCCAGTTAGACTTGAATTTCAGACAACAATGTGTCTTTTAATATTAGTGTGTTTCAGATTTAGTATATTGAAAATATTTTTATGTAAGTATGTTAGCTTAAGTAATTTTTAGTGTAAATATGTCCCATTTTGGTGTTTCCAGATTTAGATAATAAAAACGAAATCCCCAGGCTAGTACCTGTAATCCCTGCAACTCAGGCAGAGAACGGCCATTGAGCTCCAGTCCACTCTCAGAGTGAAATTCCTTCTCAATCAATAATCCAGGCATAGCTGGCATGCATGTGGTCCCAGCAAAAAGGGAAGACCCTACATGAAAAGTAACTAAAGCAAAAAAGGCCTGGAATGTGACTCAAGTGACAGACCATCTACCTAGTAGGAAGCTGGAGGCTCTAAATTCAAAACCTCAATACTACAAAAAGAAAAAAAAGCCCCAAGCCCAGACAGTGCTTGTAATCCTAGCTACTTGGGAGACAGAGATTGGAGTATCACAGTTTGAGGCCAGCCAGGAAAAAAGTTAGTGAGACTCCATCTCAACCAAGAGCTGGGCATGATGGTGCACACTTGTCATCTCAGCTATATGGGAAGCTTAAATGGGAGGACCGTGGTTCAGTTAGGCCTTGGCCAAAAGTAAGACCCTATCCCCAAAATAACTAAAGCAAAAGTTCTGGGGGCATGTACAAGTGGTAAAGTGCCTGCCTAGCAAGCACGGGCCTGATTCAGAACCCCAGTACCATATAAAAACAAACCAAAACAAAGCCAGATAAACAATATTTTCTAGTATCAGTATATTGTATATAATTTTTATAAATTTCATGTAAGCAATTTTTAAGAAAATATGTCTAAAAAGAAACAAAAATAGATCTATATAATATGTGTTGAAACAGGGTCACCAAAGTTAGCAAATGAAAATATAGGGTATGTGGGCCTGGTGGTCCATTCCTGTAATACCAGCTACCCCTGAGGATCGCTTGAGAGCACAAGACCCAGAGCAGCCTGGGAAGCATAGCAAGACCTGGGTCAAACAACAAGCAAACAAAACCACCCAAGAAGACAGGATAATGCTTAGTTGAAGTTGAGTTTTGGGTAACGATAATTTTTTAGTATAGATATGCCTCAATAGTATATGTGAAGTATGTTTATACTAATACAAAATACCATATTAAGTACTACTAGTATATATTCTTATAATTATGTCCCAATATTTATTAGGAAAATAACAATGAATTCTAAAGCCATGTTTTGTTTAAATACTAACATTACTGTATAAATGCACTGTAATAAGATAAGGCTTAGGGACATAGACTGAAAATTATTCATTTACAAATATAGTTTAGATGGGGGCTGAGAAAATGATTCTAGCAGGTTCCATGGCTCTGGCATTGAGCTCTGGATGGCTGGAGCTGCCATTGGTGAAAGTAAGCAGCAGGAGGGTGTCAGGGAAGATGAGGACCCACCTCCAGGGGCTGGAACTGAGTATCACGCACCCACTGGGCAGAGGTGAATTGAGTGCCTGTATGTCTCAAGCAGTCTGGACACTGATTAACTATAAAGGCAATTCTTCTACAGTATACAATTCAATGTTTTGGTATAGTTGACCATTGACATCTTGGGTTTTAATTTCATGGGCCCAAGTAGACTTTTTTTTTTCTGTAGTGGGGTTTGAACTCAGGACCTCATGCTTCCTAGGCAGGTGCTCTACCAGCACTGCTGCTCCGCCAGCCCTCAGGACTTTGGACATTTGGGAAAAACTCAAAAGAGGCAGTGCATTATCCTGGATATGTTGAAAAATTGAGTTATGTCATGCATGGGTTAAATAT